ACCCGGTGGGCCGGCGAGCCATATTCAAAGACGTCACAGGAAGCGGTATCAAATCAGAAAGTGATGTCATGTGACCTTTGACACCAATGAAGTTTCAGGAAGTGGCAATGAAATGGGTCTAACCAGTTCAAAACTCTCCCTCTATAGCATCCACCTCTGCCACTGTTCAGGGCAGGATACCAAGCTAGATGGACCATTGGGCTGACCAAGCATGGCACTTTTTTATGCTCTTATGTTCTTTGGCTGAGCTTCCAAACTATGGCTGAGATTTGCAAAAAGGGGTAGACAGGCATGTTACAAAGTTGTCATAAAAGATTTGGAGCCCACTAAATCACATTCATTTTAATGAAAGTTGGCCTTTTGGCTCAGCTTTGAAAATCTCAGCCCAAGGTGCCAAGCAAATAAGTCAAAATATATTTTGCATTTCTATGCAGCGTATCTATGTGGGGTTCTCCAAGCATTTTACAAACATTAAATGAACCTCAGGATATCCCTGCTTTTCAGAAGAAATGTGGTGGTGAGGATATTCTGGGAACATCTCTCTCTCTCTCTCTCTCTCTCTGTGTGATTTGCTTCTACTGTCCTTGGACCACCCTAGAAGGGCCCTCACTGCCTCATTTCCAGTTCAGAGCAGGTAAAGTGTAAGTGGGTAGGAAGGATTTATTTTTTGGCAGCAGGTGTGAGTGGCTTGAAGCTAGTGAAGATGTACCCACAATTAGTCACTGATCAGAGTGGGAACGCAGTTGTCCTCACTTATTAACATGGCTCCAAGGCCCTGCCCTCTCTCTGCCTACGTGTTGCTCTCATGTCCTCTTGCTTTCCTAAGTCTCCAGAGTAGAGGATTCCCATCATGCCTATTGGACTGCCGTCACTGGATAGCTGCCCTGGTTCTAAGGTTGTGTTTCTGACTCTTTCATGGCCTCTTTTAGGGTGCACGCTTAGAACCCTGGCTTTTCCTTCCCGCCCATTTTGCTGAATTGTGATTATTCCCATGGGGCATGAATGTAGTTCAGTGGCTATGATTCTGCTTTCTCATACAGAGGCAATGACTCTCACAAAGTATGGCATATTTTAGTAGGATAAAAACATTTTGAAGGCCACACAGAAAGCAGTAAGCTGTGTGCTGCTTGGGATGGGACAAGCCCGGCCAGAGTGGCAGGGGCTGAGCTGCATTTTCCCCTTACCTGCTCTGGTCAGTCCCAAGCGGCACACGGTTCCACCGCCACTTCTGCTGGCCGGTGCAGACCTGGCCGGGCTCCTCACATCCCCAGCAACACATGGGAATCTGGCTTCAGCTACATCCTGCTCCAGATGGGACAGACCCGCCCGGGTCGGCACCAGCCAGCACAAGCGGTGGCAGAGCTGTGTGCCACTTGGGACTGACCAGCGCAGGTAAGGGGAAGTGCAGCTGAGCCCCTGCTGCTCTGGCTGGGCTCATTTTGTCCCAAGCGGCACACGGCTACTCCTCTTCCCACACGCACCGCGTTGGCAACGTGAAGCTGATGCAGTGCATGTGGGAACCTTGTCCCTTCCCCAGCCCTTCAGCTACCATTAGGAATCTGCTGAGGGGCTGGAGAAGGGACAAGGGGTGGGAACGAAAATAAACAGTGTTTACTTTCGTTTCCCGTTCGTTTCCCGTTGCAGCACCTTGGGCCTCAGAAAATGGCTTGGTGGGCCACATGGCGGCTTGCAGGCCATATGTTGGACAAGCTTGGTTTATGGGATCACAGTAGCATTGGTTGGACTATTTTAATACAGCCGTTCGAAGAATATTGCTCAACTCTGTTTCCAAACTAAGAAAATACTACATCAAGGGTGGACTACATGAGATGCTACTGCTCTCTAAGAGTCTCTAAAAACCTGTAGCACAAGTTATTGCACACTGATTTAGTACTTGGCTATCCAGGTACTAAATGTGCGGTAACTATGGCTCATTAAAGAATATGCAGATGCGCTCCAAGAGATCCTCCTCCTTTCCCTTTGAGGCCACCAGAACTGCCTTTTTTGTTTGAAGTCACCTCTTTTAGTCACTGTATTCCTTGGACAGCAGCTTTATGTTGTGCTCATGTTATTGATCCAGCCTCCAGCCTAACAGGTTGACATTGTATCCTGGTGAAAAACAGAATACCTGCTCAGGCAGTATTATTATGTGACCTGGTCTTTTGTGTAACAGGGTTTCTTTTCCAAGCTGCAGGGTGGGAAAATCAGGCTTTTGCCAGCTGAATATTGATTGTTACTCCTTAGCATCTTTCCTTTCTTATCTATTTTGTTCTGTATCACTTTCTCTAGTAGCTGTAAATACTGTTTACAGCTTTCTGGACAGTCAGAACTTCACTAGTCTTCTTAGCATTTGCCATTTTGCTTGCTTAGATGTTTTGATACCGTTCTCTTCAACAGTAGAAAATTAATTTTAGCACTTGGTGTAACTTGCTCAGTCTTTGTATTTGAACATGTTAAATGATAATGGTGCATTGAAAAGAGCTTACCCTTATAAGCTGCATATGTTAATCCTTTGTTTACAACTAGACCCCCCTCCCCCACCCCAAAACCAGAAGGAACTAATGATACTTTGTGAATGTATGTGTTACCGAATATCTTTCAATTAGAGAGTATGCAGAAATATTTCATTTGAGTTTCCTTGCCCTGGCCTTTTAAAATGCTTAAAATTAGAAACCTGGAATTTAGTGTAACAGAGTAAAAATTGTTGGGTATAAAATGTGAAATATACATGTGAAATACTTGGAGTAACTCATTTCTCTCTTAAACAGCTTTAAGTAGTTCTTCTTCTGATGACAGTGATGAAGGAACAGATGAAGAAATAAAAAGTGAAGAAAGTGACATTGAAGAGAGGACAGAAATGGTATATTTATATGAGCTACATTAATTTAATAATATTTAGCATGTTGCGTTTGAAGCACTTGGAAAAATGGTGACAGCTGAAGAGAATTGCTGTTCAGCAAAAGGCCATACAGGAAGTAGTTAGGGAAAGTATTAAAATCATTTTCTGATTTAATAGAGTACTTATTATGACTGGGACATTCAAAAACCATAGCAGACATCATACTCCTCTAGATGACTTTGATTTCAGTTCAAAATTTATAAACTTGGCTCACTATTTTACTTTTTTGAGATCTGTCAAATTTATAGATACTGTTAAATTTTACTACTGTTTTCAGGTAAGGTAGCTTCTTATTGCCAGCAGGATTTTAATGGCTGTTGTAACCAGTTTATTTTAAAGAAGGAGGGTTAGCTCAAAGTTGACTTAAAATTTTGCCAGAATTGAAGATTAGAAGAAACAGTTCCAGTTAGAAAGAAAAGTGTTTGCTCTGAACATGGAATTGAAATATTACAATACAAATAATTTAAATGTGAAGTAGTCTGTGAACAAACTGATCAGACAGTTGGAACAAATGAAAGAACAAAAAGCAAGCAGTAAGAATAAATAAATTTAAAAAAAAACCAACATAGCTTTTAAAATAATTTAAAGGTATATATTTAGTTTATCAGAAACGGTATGAGATCTGCTCATTAAATTCACAAAATATATTGTGCTAGTTGTATCATTCCATGCAAGGCATTGAGGGCATGTCTACATATGTGTTTTAATGAACGTTAGCCTGTTTTAATGTGCATTCAATTGTCACTAAAAAAAAGTGCTATTTAGTTAATGTGCATTAAGCATCACTTAAACTGTGCTCTTTAGTTAATATGTGTTAAGACAGGCTAGTGTACGTTTTCCTAGTACCTCAGAATGGAGGTACATCTAAATGAGTGGAATGGCAAATGCTGGGAAGATTTAATACGTGTAACTAAAGGATGTTAATGCACATATAGATTCATCCTGGATTTTTAACTCAGTTTCTTTCTTAATGGCTTCTAAATTATAACACTAATTCGTCTTTGCTGTCTTAGAAAGAAGACCAAGACACTCACACCAAGAGAGACATGGAAGAAAGAGCAATAAGCATAGAAATTCCTGAAGTCCTGAAAAAGAAGCTTGAAGAAGATTGTTACTACATTAACAGAAGAAAACGGGTATGAGTTTTAAGGCATGTGAAAAGTATGCCTGAAGGCAGTCAAGAGTAGCTCTCCTGCATAGTGGCTTAGTTTTTAAGCTGACTTGTATTTATAGTAGAGAGACCTAATCCAATGCATTTCATTTAGACTTCCACTCCCCCGTCTTAATGACTAGAATAGTGAATTATTAATGTATTGACCCATAATATGGGGGGGTTTCATCATAATAGATTTCGTTTTTAAGGATGACTTATCTTGGAAATCAGGTTTATCACCTTCTGCTATTGTATTTGCATTTCTCCAGGGTCAAAAGTTATAGGATTGAGCAGACGTGGGTTTGAGGAACAAATTTGAAATGTCTGAAATAATGTTTTTGAATAGATTTGTTACCGGTTGTAGGCAGTGAATCACATGAGTTCTTATTGTTCTTGAGTTGCCACATGCCATTGCTGATTTACGCAAATTGTCTCTCTTCTTCAGCTAGTGAAATTGCCTTGTCAGACGAATATAATAACAATCTTGGAATCGTATGTGAAACATTTTGCAATCAACGCAGCTTTTTCAGCAAATGAAAGATCTCGGCACCATCAAATGACTTCGCATGCCAATATGAATCTTCACTATGTCCCACCCGAAAAGAAGTAAGTCATTTTGGCCATTTGTTTTTGTGTGGAGGAAGAACGGGTTTGATTTCAGGTCCAGGTTTTCAGTGCTTTGCGGTTCAGTAGACTTGCACATCTGTGTACCCACAAAAATGGAGACTATACATTATTTGACCTGGAAGACAATTCTTTGCTCAGAGATGAGAGCATTGCTTTTTTACCTTATCTTAATGTAGCATTAAGATAAGGTATCACTTCCCTTTTCTCTACTGAATCAGGAGTACTATAGGAATCTGAGACCATTTTGTACTTAAAAGGTATTTTTCATGTTTGTGTGACAGGAACTTGAGTTGAGGGTTTAAGTAGTACCTGCTTCACACTGCAGGAAAGATGCATCTTGCTGAAATAAGCATTGAGTCCCTTTTGTTGCATGCAAGAGTGCAAACTCCAATTCTAAAGGTGTGTAGCGGAATTCCTTTGGAGCATATTGGTAGCAGCCAAATAATCTTCATATGTGAGATTAGTTTACTGAATGCTGTTATCCATCACTTGAAGAAAACTGAATATGCACAGCAATAAACGTGTCCACACTTTCATGTGCAGGTTTTACTGTGGTAGCTCTGATTTGCATGTGTGATTACTATTATTTTTTAAGAACGGATTTTGTACAGGATTTAACTTCTCTTTCATTGCCTTGTGTTCTGCCCTCTGTGGGAAGGGAGAACAAATGTTTTCCAATTTATATATGGCAACTACTCAGCCCTTCTCCAAGTAGGCATACAACCTTCCCTCATATGGCTTGTTTTCCAACCCCTTTATCATCATTGTTGCTGCTTCTGGGTCCTGTATATGTTGTCTCACTTTTTCTTAAAATACGTTCTCCAAAGCTGGACAAAGTAGTCATTCTGAAGCCTATACAGTGCCAAATAGAGGGGTACAAAGACTTGTGTATTGCATAACATTTTCTGGTTGAAAGCAGTCCAAAAGAGTGGAAGTGTGTGTACGCACACGTGTGGAGAGGGGTGTTTTTTGAAACCAGCTGCCACATTGCTAACTGTGTTGAGTTTGATTTTCCACAACCCCCAGATGGTAACACGTAGAAGTACTAATGCCAAGCCATCTGGATCTCATTCTCTGCTTGTTTTTTCTATTTCCTATTATAGCACCTTATATTTGCTTATGTTGAATTTTTATTTTGTTGTCTAAAGCAGTGATTCTTGACCAAGATAATGTGAAATCATTTTAAGGGTGATGTGCAATATTAGCACTTTTAGGTATAAACACCTACTAAAGAGTAACATGATTAGACCTTGATCCATAGTTTCAAAAATATTCTGACCTGTTGTGCTATTAAGTTCTTTGCAACAGGAGAATTGATCTTTTTTTTCCCCATGATAAACAAATGAATAAAAGCCGAAGAGCTGGCATTTTCTGAGGAAGGCCTTAAGTATGAAACATTTGAGAACCACTGGTCTTAGAGCCCAGTTCCAGTTTATCAAGTTCCCTTGAATGTTAATTCTGTCCTTCAAAGTATATGCAGCTCTTCCAAGTTCCATAGTGTTTGCAAATTTGGTTAGTGTACTCTCTGTCTATGCAGTCAGGTCATTACTAATAAATATTAAAATGTAGTAGACCCACAGGATTCTCTTGTGGAAACCCTACTTGAAACTACCCAGCTCTTTGACATCAAGCCATTAATAGTTACACTTTTCTTGTTGTTGTTCAACCAAATATGCGTCCATCTAATGATAATTCTGTTCATATCATGTTCTGTCGTAAATTGTGACAACACAAATTAAAGTTTAAGATATTCAGTGATCTAGAATGATCTTATTTCTTGCAATATTGGTATTAGTGCAGGGGCAGGCAATTATTTCGGGTGGAGGGCCGCTTACCAAGTTGTGGCAAGCTGTCAAGGGCCGCATGGGTAGCCCCACCCCTTGACAGGTGCCCTGCCCCCTGGTTACCATGTTGGGACCAATGTCCCAATGTCTTGGGACCAATGTCCCAGGGCCAGCACCAGTGGCACCAGAGCGGGGTGCTGGCTGGTAGAGGTCTGTGAAGCCAGGCTGGGCTGCACTAGTAGGGAGAGGGGGGAGCTGGCCTGGCTCCATAGAGCCCCTGCGGGCTGGGATCCTGTATCCCTGCGGCCCTGCTTGGGGCCTTGCTGGCATTGGCCCTGGGACACGGGTGTGGGCCCTGCTTCTGCACCTGCTCACTCCCAGTGCCCCCCAGCCCCACAGTACAGGCAGGGGGACAGCGTGCAGCTCCAACCCCCTGCTCGCCGTAGGGAAGGAGCTAGTTCAAGTGTGGGGAAAAGCGGACCGCCCCTCCTCTCCTGCCCATGGCCAGTGCCCCAGGCTGCAGCCACTCACAGCCCATGCAGGGCTGTGCTGAGTAGGCATAGGCAGGCCCATGTGGGCTGTGAGCAGCTGCAGTGCGGGGCACCTGTCTCGGTGCGGGTGAGGGGCCACTTTTCTTCTGCACTCAGCATCAGTGCCTGGGCCTCGTACTGGCTCTGGGCTTGCCTGTCAGGGCTGCGCCACAGCAGCTGTGGCTCCCCGGCTTGCTGCATTGGGCAGTGTTTGCTGCTGCTGCTTCCCCGGACCTCACGTGCTGGAACCAGGTTACAAGTTGGTGCTGAGCATGGGGGGAGGGAAAAGCGGCCCCTCACCTACCCTGTGCCCGGCACCCCGGGCTGCAGCCACTCGCAGCCCACATGAGGCTGCCTTTGCCTGCTCAGCACAGCCTTGCGCGGGCTGTGAGTGGCTGCAGCAGGAAACGTGGGCCATGGGGCAGGTGAGGGGCCACTTTTCCCCAGGCTCTTTCCATGCCCTTCCCTCCCACTCCCCCCTTACCTGAGGTTCCAGTGTTGGGGCAGCCACGTGGTCTCAGGCCATAAGCCCCTGCTGGGGCTTCCAGCGGGGGGCGGGGCCAGGCGGGCCCTGCTCTTGCAGGAGCTCTCCAGGGCTTCCTTGATCCTACTGCTCTTGGTTCTTGTCATCTTTGATAGGAACTAAGGACAGATAAATTTTAATTTTCTAAATTTTTTTTAGGGCCGGGTAGAATGGCCTTGCGGGCCAGATCTGGCCCGTGGGCTGTATTTTGCCCACCCTTGTATTAGTGTCATTACCCATGGATAGTGTTAAGGCTTTGGAACTATACCCGGGCTTTGGAACTATACAGGTTGAACACTGGCATTGTAGACTGTTTGTAACCTGTAACTCAGTAGGTGTAGATGTGCTGATAAATCCATCGGGCACAGTGGCTGTTCTGTGATTACCTGGAAAGGAAGGAAAGTTGTGGGAACTTTATATACAAAATAAAATTTGAAAGAATAACGTGCATTTTAATTTTGTTCATAAATTGAGTTTAAAGGGAAAATACCAGAACGATTTCTTTTAAAAAATATTTTTTATTCATGTTTATGTCTATTAATACATTAATTATATAAAATATTTGTATAACAAATACATATCATATATACATCATTATAGAAATAAAAACATAATGTGACTAAATCATTTTGGTTTTGCATGTCTAAATAGTACTTAGCCATATAAGTGCAATTTTTTGGCACTTAGGTTTTACACCTGTGGTAGGTTAGGATCACCCACATGCATGTACCTGTTGGGAGTAAACTGAAGAAGAATAATGGTCTTCCCACCTTTTAGTCTGGTACCGTGGTGGTTATCACACTTGTCTTGGGGAGTAGGAGGTTCTTCCCCCCATCCTGTTATGCAGAGGGCATCTGAGCCTGCAGTTCCCATTTCCCCCAGTGCCCTAACAATCTGGTCATGGGTTAGGTGGTGCCCAGAGTACCTTCTTAAAACTGACTCCTTGCATGGCCTGGGAGGAGGAGAGCAAGTCAGTAGGAGACTGGCAAAAAACCAGATTAATATGTTTTGTAAGTTGCACCTGAGCTGCTTTGAAGTAAAAATTGTTTGAGTGCCTTTTGGGCAAAGACTCAGCTTGATGGTTGCTTTGGCATTCTAACAATTTTTTTTGTGTGGTTAAGCTAGATTTAAAAACAAAAGTGGTCCTGAAAAATATGATTGTTTCCAGAAAGATGTTGCTGATTAGAATAAGCAGCAAGTCAAAGGAACTATCTCAGAATATTGTCACTTCCAAGTAAACCTCTTGAGGTTATCTATTTTGAAGTAAAGCAGCTGCTTTCTTATCACTAACCAGCCAACTAAATAAATAATATGTTTTTCTGTCTTTGAAAAAATAATGCTCTGCATAAAGCTGTGTTATTTTGTCCCTTTTCCCACTCTCTGCACACCTTCCTATGATGTGTTTGAACTTCATAAAGACTTTTTAGGATAGTTTTGTCATGGGAGTATCTAAGCTTTTCATAAGCATTAACATAGACAGGAAAAAAAATAAAAGTAATTTTCATTTTTTTTTGTACTGATGCACAAAGGTAAAGACTCTTGTTCACAGTGGCATAGCTGTACCAGCAATGATGAAAACAGAATGGTGATTTCTGATTCAGGATCATCTGTTCTCCAAAATTAGTCCCCAGTGATTGGGCTACTCACAGTAGGTTAAGTTAACCCTGTGCATAAATCTTTTTAGGCTTGGGAAGTTAACTTACAGTCTCACTTGGGCATTTGCATTGTCTTTACGCATGTCTGTACTGTGCCATATACATTTTATGATTGTGTTTAAACGCAAAAAATAGATTCCTTTTTTCAGTTAGTTGTTGTTTCTTGGAAAAAAGAACAATCATTTACTGACATTAAAATAAGTTATTTTTTGCCTCTGTCACTAGTTCATGTGACCACAAACTTCTGTAACTTCAGCAGCTGAATAGTTTTACCTGATTATAAAGGACTTTTTTAGGCAACAGTGTACAACTGTGCCTTATTGTGGATTTAGCCTGTAGTAGAATTGGTGATGTTGTGTGCTTTTATATAACCTATGATGATAATTTTTACAATATTTTAGGAATTTCTAGTTAGGTTCTCTTTCTATTAGTCATATGTAATCCTTTTTTTGCTCTTCATGGAGCTTTTGGTTTATTACTTTACTTGGATTTTTGGAGTTGTCTTGTCATGGTTTCTTTAAAGGAAATTTTCCAGTGACTACATAAAAACTTGCAACTAGGCTTTTTAATACAAAAAATGAATCTCACCCCCCCATGTCTTTTCTAGTGTTGAATTATGTAAAGAAATGGTGGATGGATTGAGGATAACCTTTGACTTCACTCTTCCATTGATTTTGCTCTATCCCTATGAGCAAGCTCAGTTTAAGAAGATAACTTCATCCAAATTCTTTCTTCCCATCAAAGAAAACTCAACAAATGCTAATAGGTAAGTTGGACAATTTGATTTGTATATCCCATAATTAGCCTCCAAAAACATTTTGTGGAATACAGAAATACATTTGAAATGCAGGAGGTAAGTACTCATTACATATAATATAAAAACAATTTTGAAATCAAAACAAAGTCTCAAACTCTTTGCTTTGAATTCAGCATTTTTTGTTGAAATTGGAGAGTTAACTTAATCTGAGAATTAAGGTGGAATCGACCTAACACTGATTAAAATCACATGAAAAGGATTAAAACTTAAATGTCTGGTTGTTTGGCCCTTGCCATATGTTATTTAACTGCATCTTTTGAGTTGTAACCTGGCCACACTTTAAAGCAGTTAATGGCATTGTAAAACAAGGAATAAGCTACAAAGTTATGCCACAAAACGTGTGCGATAATTTTGTGACTGGTTCCTATGATACCATTTATTGAACATGTAGCCAGGTATGCCCCTCAGGCTGGGAGCCCTGTCAGCTGATGGGTTTCCTAGCCAGCAGGAGCAGTCCTGGGTTCCCTCTGTACTAGCAATAAGGTGTAATGGGAGCTGATGCTTGATCCCACAGTCGTGCCTCCTGTCATGTGTGTGGCATGGCAGGAAGTGTGATTGGATGGATTGCACATCAGATCCTGTTGTGCCTTTTACCTGCACATATGGCTTGGGTCTTAGCTTTAACCACTCAAAGGAAATACTTATATTTGGCAAACAACAATTTTATGCCACATGATCCTCCAATTTTTGAAGGAGACTAAGTTTTAGTTTGAACAAATATCTGTATCTGTGGAAACTGGTACTTGTTTTAAAACAACTAACAAAATACAAGATTTTACCCATATTTTTTTTAATAGAAATCAGGAGGAACTGTCTCCAAGTCCACCTCTGTTGAATCCACCAACTCCTCAATCCACAGACAGTCAGCCTACAACCGGAGAGCCAGCAACACCCAAACGACGAAAAGCTGAACCTGAAATATTGCAATCGCTGAGGCGTTCTACCCGTCATACATCTAACTGTGACAGGTTGTCAGAAAGCAGTGCTTCTCCACAACCTAAACGGCGGCATCTTGAAACACCTGCTTCAATGCCAAAGCTGTTTTTGCATCTAGAAAAAAGTAGGTTAAATTACTAAAGGTATCACTGAGTTACAACACTAAAAAATCTTTTTATGTTGCAAAACAAAGCTGACTGCATTTACAGATTATTTATTTGGTCATTAATTTGTTAGCTTGGAATTATTTTATACATAAGGGCAGAGATGTGAGCAGTGGGGTACCCCAGGGCTCGGTCCTCAGGCTTGCACTATTTAACATCTTCATCAGCGACTTGGACGAGGGGGTGGAAAGCACGCTGTCCAAGTTTGCTGATGACACTAAGATGTGGGGTGAGGTGGACACACTTGAAGGGAGAGAGAGGCTGCAACTAGATTTAGGCAGACTACAAAAGTGGGCAGATGAGAATAGGATGCGGTTCAACGTAGACTAATGCAGGGTGCTGCACCTTGGGAGAAGGAATCCACAGCATACATACAGGCTGGGGAGTTCCCTTCTTGAAAAAACAGGCAGAAAGGGATCTTGGAGTCATTATTGACTCCAAGATGAACATGAGCCGCCAAGGCCAGACCACAGCCAGCAAGGCCGGCCATACCTTGTCATGCATCCAAAGGTGCATCTCAAGCCGGTTCAGAGAGGTGATACTCCCCCTCTATGCGACCTTGGTCAGGCCGCAGTTGGAGTATTGTGTCTAGTACTGGGCGCCGCACTTCAAAAGGGATGTGGCCAGCCTGGAGAGGGTTCAGAGGAAGGCCACCTGCTTGGTGAGAGGGCAGCAGGACAGGCCCTATGAGGAGACACTGAGGGACCTGAACCTGTTTAGCCTCAGCAAGCGGAGGCTGAGGGGGGACCTGGTGGCTGCCTACAAACTCATCAGGGGAGATCAACAGCAAATAGGTAGAGCCCTTTTCTCCCCAGCACTACCTGGGGTGACAAGGATCAATGGTAATAAGCTGATGGAGAATAGGTTTAGGTTAGAGATCAGAAGGCAATATTTTACAGTTAGGGTGGCCAGCATCTGGAACCAACTTCCCAGGGAAGTGGTCCCCGCCCCTACCTTGGGCAAATTCAAGAGTAGGTTGGATGATCACCTGTCTGGGGTCTTGTGAACCCAGCATTCACTCCTGCCTGTGGGAGGGGGTCAGGCTAGATGATCTGTTCAGGTCCCTTTTGACCCTAGCTACTATGAAAACTACTAAGGGGGAAACTGCAACAATTTATTAACAGCAGTTTTTATTGAATGATACCAGTCAGGACTGAAGGGGCAATTTTTCTTGTGGGTGACTATAAACTTGTAACAGTTACTTTAAATAGCATTAATTTGGTTCTGTGTCAAAGGTTTTAGACGTATTAGAGGTTTTGTTTCAGTCGGTGGCCTAAAACCATTAAGATACTGGATTTGGCCTGTGGTGGCTGGCATGAGCAGTGGCAGGGGCAGTGCCTTTTTCACTTTGCACCATGCATTCTTCTGCTTGTTGCTGATCCCATCTGCAGTCACTGATGTCCCTGCTATGTGCTGAGGGGTCCTCTCTTGCCCTGCTGCCACCCCATGATGCCAAATTTGTGGCTTCCCATTAGTGACAGTCAGTGGCAATGGTAAGCAGAGCACAGAGAGGTAGGGTGTTGGGTCACAAGAGGTAGCCTGTTCTTAAAGTTTGCTAACCCTTGTCTAAAACAGATTTCTTGGCTGCATGAATTTAATCATTTTACTCTCTTTTTGCTTTTGAAGAAACCCCTGTCCATAGTGGTTCATCTTCACCTATCACTTTGACTCCTAGCAAAGAGGGGAGTGCAGTTTTTGCTGGCTTTGAAGGTAGAAGAAACAATGAACTTAATGAGGTAACAATAAGATTAATCTGTACAATTCTTCACATCCATGCAACACTGGATTTAAGTGCGAGAATCAGTTTAGGATTCTGTATAATATAACAGTTCTTAACAGGGTATCTGTTTCCCTGTTTTCATTACACACTGATTTACCTGCTAGGAAATTAAATTAGCATTCATACCTCTCATATGTGATGTAGGCATTTAAATAATGCCTCAGTCCAAGTAAGTGATCCACAAAACCTCTCCTAACTAATTAGGCATCTGTGGGGAATTGATACCTGTGTTTTGGCCAATACAGTTACTGAATTTGGCTGCTGTGTAGGCCCAGAGTTGCTGCCATATAGTGAAAGCTGAGCATCTCTCACAATGCTGATTTGAGATTTAAAAACTGTATATTCCTGTACCAGAGTATTCTGAAGGCCCTGATCTCAGATCATGCCTAATGCTGACAGTGTGGAGTTCAGCGCAAAGGGCTGCAGCTACAGCCTGTTTCAGTAAGAAATAGTAACAGAAAAAGGAGAAGGAGTTGGTGTCTACCTCTTTATCCAGAAGTCAGTGTTTAGAACACTTGCCCAGGAAGTGCAGTACCTGAGGTCAAGAGCATCCTTAAACTTCAGAAGCTAAAGCTCACATATACCACCTGGGAAAATACAATAATCAGTAGGTGATAGCCAGGGATCCTGGCTTTCTCAGTTTAAAAGTCACAAATTCTCTGATAAAAATTGCAGATTTTCTAATTAAAACCCCAGAATCCATGTTTTTCCATGATGTAAAATGAAACACCACTATATATAGGTATCAGTTGAACATTATGTTTTATTGATATATTTACAATTTTAAAGCAGTTTGGAAGCCCACCAGTACTTCAATCACTCTTGTAAAATACATTCTAAATACCTATAAACTTTGGCATTTGATTTTGGTTTTTTTATTGTGAAAAATCAGAGTTCTCCCTGCCTCCTTTGCTCACGATGCAGGTCCAGCTGTGTCTGTCTGCCACTGTTTTTTTTGGCGCTGGACAGCCCTGGTATGTCAGTGCCCTGCCTGTTCCATTGCCCCTCACTCCCAAGCCATAGCCCCCACAACCATGCTGGTTCCTCTCATTCCT